CCTGCGCTGCTGCTCGGTAAAAATGACGACGGGAACGCTCCGCGCAGCGCAGTGCATCTTGCCGCTCGCAGACGGCAAACATGGCAATTAGCGCCGTCGGTTGATGCTAGGCGATGAGCCTGGCTCCTCGGCCAGCGGCGCCATGGGAACGCATTTCGTTGATCAGAGACTAGAGCGCCTCCTCTGTTTCAGCACACGATGTACGTACGCGACGGTCGCTTTTCTGGCTCCTCCTGACAAAGCCAACAACAAAAGATGACGAGGAAGAAAAAGAGACTGAGGGAAAGAGGAGAGAGAAAGGAGGAAAAGAAACGAGAGAAAGCAAAGGAGGCTAAGCCCCTGTTTAGTCGGAGAAATTTGGAAAGAAACGTTCATTTTTATTTGGTAAATAGGCTAAAGCTCAAAATTGGGATTTACTGTGCAATTAGGACATAGATTAGAAAAGACAACTTTTTTAAAAAAATAAACAAAGGCTAAAGATTGGGATAGGACATAGATAGAAAAGACAATTTAAAAAAAAAATACTACTAGATACAAAAGATAAAAGGGAGAAGTAGGACACTGAGCCGTGATGTGGCGAAAAGAAGAGGTTGAAGGCAAGGACAGAGCCGAGTGCAGAGTGCAGACTGCTGGGCACCCGCTCTGCTGCTCTCTGCCGCGGCCTGCGGGTGCTGCTGCTCTCTGCCGCGGCCCGCGGGTGCTGCTGCCTGCTGCTCAGCTCAGTGCGCTCGCTCAGACGCTCACCATGGCAATTGGCAAGCTCGCGTCTCGCCCTCGTCCATCCCCGGTCGCACACTCATTCTCACACTCATTGCCGCCCACCTCTTTTTCGGGCAAGCCTGGGGGCGGGGGCACGGGCGCAGCACCGGCGCTGCCGGCTCCGGACGGGAAAAAGGGGGGAATCATGGCCGGCCGGCCGGGGATGGAATCATGCTGTGTGTGTGTGTTCGACGTGAGGCGCCAGCGTTCGATGTGAGGCAGGCCAGCGCGTACTTGGCCGGCGTGCCGTGATCCCTCGCGTGTTGCATGGATTGCCTTCCATGCAGACGGGACGATCGCTTGGGGGTCGGGCCGGGCGCGGCGCGTGGGCAATGGGCATCTAGCATATTTGGCGCCGCCGGCGCCCGGCGCGTTCGAGTCCGACAGGCGCGACGCGACGGAGGTGTGCTCGGCAACTGCGTGCGTCGGCGGCCGTGCGGAGGAGACCGTTGCCCCTTGCCCGTATCTCCAAAGACCCGGCCGAACATGGTGTAGTCGTACGTAAAGGTGAATCCGTACGTAAACAACATTTCGTCGATCCGCCGGGGTTGGGTTTGGCTCAGGCCACGTTTAGTTCGCAAAAAATTTCACCTTAAAAGTGTCGCATCGAATCTTGCGGCACATGCATGGAGTACTAAATATAGACAAAAAAAAACTAATTGTATAGTTGGATGATAAATCGCGAGACAAAACTTTCGAACCTAATTAGTCTATAATTAGACACTAATTACCAAATACAAACGAAAATACTACAGTAGCCAAACCCAAAAAATTTCGCGAACTAAACACGCCCTCAATTACCGGAGCTGACAAGTGAAAAAAAAGAAATAAACACTTGCATTTGCCATTTGAGTGTAAGTTTTCATGCAACAAGTAAAAGTAACAGTATAAGACTGTCTTCAACAAGGAACTCATATCAGCACTCAAACTCAAAATGGATAGCAAGAGATCCAAAATCAGCCTCCAACAAAATATCTATACGGAAGACCTATTTTGAATTGCCTGAGAGGCACAACCCAAATATAGACATCCTCTCTCCTGAAAACCCATTTGCAGAAAGGATTATTTTTGAGTCTTATTATTGAGAAGATGCCGAATATGTATTGAACCATTTGCCTGTAACGCTATCAAAGGACGAACAGGTCTTATATTTTGAGTGTTGTTGTTGGAGATAGCTTAACTCAAAGCAAAGTACCTACTCCCTCCGTCCTTTAATATAATATATTTTAGCATTCAAATTTTATTCTCAAATATAATGCATTATAGAGGACAAAAAACAGTTTGTATTAAATACTTTCTATTTATCAACCAATCACCATTAATCACATTAATGATAACGTCTTATTAGAAAATAAAATAAGAGTACATACATCTTTTATGTTCTCTCTTAATTTGTCTTAAAATTCTTAAAATACACTATTTACAAGACATAGGGAGTATAAAATAAAAAGCCAAAAAACTGATTTTCAACCTTCCCGATAAATATTAGAAAAAAATAATCCCATGATCAATAACTTTCCATAATCTATGCCTAGAAAATAAAACAAGCAGGCTCATTTGAGGATTTTTGGTTGTCGTCCGTGTCAAGCCCTACCTTGTATAGTATTCTAGTAGTATTCTCAGATCTAAAAATAGTGACAGCAGATTTAATTCCGACGAATTTCCCAGTTGGTGGTGGGATGACTGCAGTCACCATTCCTAGCACCCTAACTCGCGTAGAAGCATAGAAACTACAAAGCAGAATATAATCTCTATTGCATGTTCTACTTTCAGTATTTTTAGATATAAAATATTGAGGGGAGATTATTCAATTACGGCAAGGCGAACATCCATGTGGTGATAGTTGGGGTCTCGGGGCGATGCAGTGTTAGAAAAAAAAATCACCACCTGTGATAGGCATGATATGCGGCCTATTTGTTTCGGTTGAAACGATCGTGAATTTATTATTGTTGGCTGATTTGATGTGAGAGAAAAAATAATATTCTGACTTATAATTCACGATCGTTTACGACCAAGCGAACAGACTAATGGAGTAGCGGCCACCCATGTATCTTTACGTGTGGATGCCTTTGTTTTTTTTTTCCCAAAAGCGAATATATCGGGAGTTAGGATATGAAGTTGTTGGAGTAGTTTTTTTAACCATAAAAAAATTTAGAATTGACAGTGGCTTTTACCAAACTGTTAGATGCTCTAACTGTAAATGGATGTGTTGCTCTCAACGTGAGAGAAGAAAAAAAAAGAGTGATTGCTGAGGAAGAGAGGGATGGTAATATCGTCTTTTTATAGCAGCCAGAGCACTTCGTCTTACCATGGATGGACAGACCGATAGAGTGGCATGAAAGACATAAAAATTCGAGAGATTGTTATTGAGGGAATTTCAATTTTTAATGGTATGCAAGGAACTGTTATTTGTTAATGGCACACGCAATAAATTGCCTCAAAGATACAGCTCTTGTTTGGATCCCATGAATTGAAGCCAATATCTAGAAAATGTTTCTCATTTCATTGGTAGATTATTTTCCATTTCCTGGGAACCAAACAAGGCCTAAATGGCGATGTGTATATACTGTACTTGGTAAAGCAAGAGTTTTATATATATCTCATTGCAAATTATTATCTTTATGTAAAACAATTTCCATCTGAGTTTATTTTCAAAATTTTCATGCATTGTAAGTTAATAATCTCTAGCCAGCCACGAATATGCAACACTCCAACAAATTCCCGTTCGTAGGGTGACAAGTCAACTAAGACAGTGGGCCTCTAGTTTGAGGATAGTTCAGGGAGGTAAAATGAACTTTTTTCTTGTTTTGTGATAGTTTTATTAAATGGCCATCTAGTTTTAATTTAACCTTATCTAGAACTTTTAATATATTGATTTATAGATAGTTTATTACAAAAAAAATTATATGCCTCTCCAGGCAAACATTATCGGGAGTTCAGCTTGAAGTGGGCTGAGCGAGTTTCGCAAAACGTCTTTGATGACAAGCGCGATTCCTTCCAGGTTTGTTCTACTGGAAAAAGTCCACATTAGCTCCCTCAACTTTTATAAAAGTCTGCTTTTCCTCCATAAACTCTAAAACTGAATAAACCACCTCTCTGAACTTTTAGAATTGTTTGTTTTACCTCCCTGACCGGTTATAAGCGGTTTTTAAAGGCGTTTTGTCTTTTTTTTTTTTGGTTGAATTTTGAAAAATCATAGTAAATCACAGAAAAATCATAAAATAAAAAATCTAATTTTTTTGGACTCCACATGAGTAGATCTACACAGTAAACATATATATATGGTATACTTTAGTACAATTTTTTCTATAGTTTTAGATCTATGTTTTTCTATAATTAATTCATAGCTGCTGTTTCTATGGTCTAATTGTGGTGACATTTTTATGGTGGGATAGTTATTGTATGCTTGAACTGTAGTAAAAATTTTATACTAATTGGGTTATGTATATAGATTTATAAATACTTTTTAACAAGCATACACCTAAATAAATCTATAACTAAGTTATACATGATCCAATGAGTATAAAATTTTTACTACACTTCAAGCATATAATAATTAGCCTATCATAAAAATTCACCACAATTGGACCATATAAATTACAGCTATGAATTAATTATTGAAAAGTATAGATCTAAAGTTACAACAAAAAATTTATACTAAAACATACCATATTATATGTTCACTGTGTATATCTACTCATGTGGAGTCCAAAAAATTGAATTTTCCATTTTATGATTTTTATGTGATTTATTATGATTTTTTAAAGATTGAGCCAAAATAAATAAAAAAGAAAAAGACAAAACCACCTTTGAAACCCGTTTATAACCGGTCAGGGAGGTAAAATGAATTGATTTTAAAAGTTTAGGGAGATAGTTTACCCGGTTTTGTGAGTTCAGGCAGGAAAAATAGACTTTAACAAAAGTTCACGAGATAATGTGGACCTTTTCCTTTTCTATTTGAGTTAAAAAAAAAAGGTTTGTGCTACTTTGAAGTGGGCCGGCCTGCTAAACACATACCCGCCGCTACAGCCTATCGCTGGCCAATTAGAGCCTTAGAGGCCCACCTGAAAAACCCTTGCGCCGCTGAGCTGAGTCCCCTTCCTTTCTCCCGTAGCCGCCGAGGAAGCACCGCCGCCTCCGCCTCCGCCTCCGCCTTCAGTTTAGCCTCCAAGCAGGGGCGCCGCGCGGGGTATTCGGTCCGTCGTCGAGGGGAGAGAGTCACTTGCGCTGGGGGAGCGGAGATGAAGCCGGTTGTGGGGATCGTGGTGTCGAACAAGATGCAGAAGTCGGTGGTGGTTGCGGTGGACCGCCTCTTCCACCACAAGATGTACAACCGCTACGTCAAGCGCACCTCCAAGTTCATGGCGCACGACGAGGAAGACTCATGCAACATTGGCGACCGGGTCGGTAATTCTCGCTCCATCGATTCGTCCCCGCCCCTTCCTCCGTTCTGATGCTGTAAGGCTGTGAAAATTGGCGATGCTTACTTCTATAAGACTGGTGTCAATTCGTCATTGGATCCTCCTAATTGGGAGCTACTGGGCGGCTGGGTTTTTGGATAGTGAACTATTTTTTTTAGAGTTCCATAGGGGCATCCCTGGTCCGTTAGTATTGCATTCAGGATTCAGGAATCAGGGCCAAGTGTTAAAAGAGCTTTATAGAACAGCTAGCAGACTAGGCTTAATTTCAGGCACCCACACATAAGTTTAAGCAGTTTTACAGACAACGGTACCAAGCAAGGCCTCAGGGTTTCTACACACCTGGATACTGAAAAAGACACTGCTGAAACCATTTCCAGCTTCTTGCACCTCGATTTCAGAAGGATGGTGGCTGCAGATCAGCGACCCACTTCATGTCGATCTCCGGCACTAGTAAGAAAAATCCTCTTCAGCCTTGTCACCAACCCCTCGATCCTTGATAGTGAGCTCTGGTCTTGTAGTTCAACTAAATGGTCACGCAGAAGTTGCATTTTCACACCCCTTTGCAAATCTATGGATAAATACATCATAAGGGGGAAATGGAAACAAATTTAACGTTCCTGATGATGTTCCATCTCGGATGGCTGAATAATGGCATTTCAATTGTTAGGTACCCGTAGGCCTAGGTTGGTGTTAAAACTTAAAAGAGCTGAATTAGGTCCACTTTGATGTTGGATGCATGTGGTTGCTATTGTTACTGTGTATCAGTGTTCAGTGATCTCCGTACTGCAGGCTTGACGTTTTGAATGAGGTTCGACAGGAGACATAAACTCTATGGTCACCGGGGATGACACCTGATTTTGTAGGTTTAATTAGTGTTCTCATAATTGCTAGACATACACTGACTGGATCTTAATCACTGCTTAGGTGGGCTACATGGTGGTTTGGTGCTAGGCTGGTTTCGACTAGTGGCTGACTCTTGAAAAATTACACTAGTGCACTAAATTGACTAGTAATCTGATAATGCCAGAATATAAGTATTGTCACATTGATTGCATGTTTAGGCCAATCATTTGTGCATGCTCACCTCAGAAATGTGGCGAACTGGGGATTGATTGAAACCACAAAGCAAATTTTCTATTGTTTGAAGATGTTATTAGTGTATTCAAACCTGTACATTTTTGGTCTTTGGTCTCAACCTGCAGTAAGAAAATATCCTATGCTTGAATTGTCACATGGCAATGGGACTGCTCTGACCCCATAGTTTGCTTGAATTGTCGCATGGCAATGGGACTGCTCTGACCCCATAATACGCCCTGTTCGCTTGGCTTATATGCCGTACTTTTTCAGCCAACGAACATTATTTTTCTCTCACAACAAATCAGCCAACAGTACTTTTAGCCATGGCTTATCAGCCAAGCGAACAGGGCAATTATTTTCTTGGCTATTCAATAAACTAGACCCTTCACAAACGAAGATGAACTTGTTAATGCTTTTGAGGCTGGTGAGCTGAAGTTTTAATAAGCTAGTTCTCCTTTTCTTATTTTAGGCTTCTCAATGGGTACAAGATAATGATGAACTATGAACACACACGAACCCAACACATGCATACCTCACACACAACTAGACTTACCAACTATACTCAGATAGAATACCACATTCCTGGAGAGATCACCATAACCATTGAAGCCCCTGATAGGCTACGGGCACATTGTATCCCCATTGTGGCACCACAGAAGAGTGACTGCAGACGTTTTGCTTACTTATTTATTGTGTGTGTGTGGGGGGCGTGGGGGCGATTTGAATTCAACCTGTGCTTGCACACCCGCTGAGCGAGCCATCCAAGGTGGAGGTCGTCCTGTCAAACTGTCTCTTACTGGAGAAAGGAAAACCTAATCTAAACAATACAGCCGAGGAGAAAGCATACAGTGCTGGTGGATATTGAGGTCACGATTTATTTTTGACCCTCAAACTTGGATGCGTGAGACAGTTTCCATGTTTTTATTTGATTGTTCCGAATGTCTGACAATTTTATGTGAGTAACGTTGTAAGTGTTAATACCTGATTTGTACTTTAATTTCCTCATTGCAAATTCTTTAATATTGCTAATACCTTTTCAACCTTTTTTTCTCTATATTTACTATTCTTACTTGGTTTTATGTCTATCTTACAACTTTCTTGTGATTAAATGCTTTGTTGTTATTGTTGTTGAATTTTCTTTAATAATGAGAAATATTAATGTCATAACAATCATTTCAAATGCCTTTTGATTTATGCACTATCTGCAAACCAAACTGACCTTAAAGCTTCTGGGTAACTGTCACTCCCGTCTGATGATTATTCTCAGTGGATGTTTGGATAAGAAATTTTTATTTGTTTTATCATGTTTGCCATGAAACTAATGATCTCCATGCACTAGCACAGAAGCTGCGAAACAGAGATATTGGTCTGTTGAGAACGTGGATATCCAGATTTTTTTAAAATGATTAATTCTCGTTTTTGTTAAAACCCAAAATCCTGGTTTTGTGGAAACCAGAGTTTTATGTATATGCAAGTTGGTTGGAGTTTCCAGACAAAGCTTTTGTGGTTGTTAGGCTAAATCCAGTTTTACTACTGTGTAATTCTAAAAAAAAAAGACTGCTTTTCTAGGCATTGAGGATTGGGATTTTTTAGAAGGAAATTGTTTTGCTCCTTGTTCTTTAATATGTCAATGAGATTAACTATTTGCATTGCATCTAAGACTTTAGTCTCTTTATCTGCTTATTGGGGGCTAGCGTTCCTTTGTACTATGGTTCTGTTGAAGTCCATTCACAATGAATTAGTTTTCCTCTCATAGAACCCTTTTATGATGGCTGGATAATATTCTTTCAGGTTAGGCTGGATCCTTCTAGGCCCTTGAGCAGACATAAGCACTGGGTGGTTGCTGAAATTCTTCGGAGAGCTAAGGTGTATGTTCCACCAGCTGCAACAGCGTCCAGTGAACATGATAGCAAATCTCAACAAGCTGGTGTTGCTACCAAATGATCCATCTGAAGTTACTGAGAGCAAGATGCAGTTATGGCTTGTTTTTTTCTTCTTTTTCTTCTGTATTATGTTTGTTTCCTTGTTGAATGTAGTCATGGAACAAAAATAGCACGCAGACACCATCTTTGCTTAATTTAGTCTGTTCTTCTGTGGTGTCCTTCGTTGAATGGTAGCCATTGAGGATATAGTTACCAGATTCAACAAGATCAATGGATTCATATTGTATTGGTTCACTTCTGATACCCACTATTGCATTTACATGTATGGTTGGCAGTTGTCTTTGTATTTCCCCTCCGATACTGCTGAAATGAGCAGGCGGAAAGCATAGAAGAGTAAAATGCAAAATACATGTTGACTGAGTCTTTATTGTAAAATAATGGAACTTTCATGTTAGTATTTATCGAGGGTTCCATTTCCATACTTATATATCTGAATTTTACCACAGCTGCCGTGCTCATATTCGTACTGTCAGGCCGGTGAACAGTTTTCTGTGTTGTTTGCTGCATACTCGTGTAAATTCATGGAGATTCTGCAATCAAGATTCGGAAAGTAGACCTTGATTTTATGTCTGATTGGACTTTGCCAAGCCGAAGCACATCTGATACTTCCGGTGCAGTCCTGCAGTCTGCATGTCCCAATCAACATTTCTCTGAACCACGAACAAAGCAGGTATCGTTCTTATACAAAATTAAAGAATGACATACCTCATTTTCAATTCACAACTCTACCACCTCTTAAAAGCTAGAACACAGTATAATGAACACATCCCATGTGAAAATTACATAAACATTAGTGTACATGCCGAATTATGCATCAATATAAATGTTTATTACATCAATAGGTATTTTATACACTGTACCAAGCACCTTATTCATCCTTCTTCGCCTCACAATTTATTTTAGTACAGTACACACATACACACATACGCTCTGTTTGTTTTGCTTATAAGCCGTACTTTTTCAGCTAACGGTAAACACACAACTACAGAAGACCAAGCATCAGCACCGCATCCTCCAATCCAAGGTCGCTTCACGGCTCACTTGCCGTGCCCACTGCCAGCGTAGGAGCCGGCTCGAGACCCAGCGTACGAGCCAGCGCCAGACCCAGCGTACGAGCCAGCTTCGGAGCCAGCGTATGAGCCAGCACCAGAGCCCCCCCAGTGAGGGCCAGCGCCGGACCCCGCGTACGAGCCGGCATCGGAGCCCGCGTACGAGCCCGAGCCTCCGCCGTTAGAGCCAGCGTAGGAGCCGGCGTTGGAGCCCGCGCTTCCGCCGTTCGAGCCAGCGTAGGAGCCGGCGTTGGAGCCCGCGTAGGAACCCGAGCCTCCGCCATTCGAGCCCGCGTACGAGCCGGCGCTGGAGCCAGCGTACGATCCTGCTCCTGCGCCGCCGGGTCCCGCGTTCGAGCCCGAGTTTGAGCCGGACCAGGACCCTGAGTCCGAGCCCGACCCTGAGCCGGAGCCGGAGTATGATCCAGATCCTGACCCGGAGACAGAGCCGCCGCCGCCACCAATGCCGATGCCGATCCCTGTGCCGATACCCAGGCCGCCGCCAACGCCGACCCCTAGGCCACCGCCGTCGCCGCCGCCGCCGAGGTTGACGCCCAGGTCCTTCCGCGCAATGCGGCGGCTCTCAGCAGCAGCGAGAAAGAACGCGGCCACCACCGCGGCGCCGAGGACGACGACCGCCGCTTTATTCTTCGCGTACGCCATTGTTGTTTCGTGCTCGCACTGCACGCTGCAAGCAAGATCGAATTGCACTGATGAGGACGACGGAGAAGACGAGTCAAGTACGCGCTCTGGGGGTGCAGTCGTGGATGCAACTCTGGGCGATGGAACGATCGATGCGGAGATGGCGTTGGTTGCGGGCCGGTATTTATAGGGACGCAGGGGCGCGACACGACAACGCGGTGGCGGTGGTGCGGCCGGGTAGTGGGTTTTGGAATGGCGGCGGCGTGGCGCGAGCTTGTGGCGCTGGCCGGCCGAGCCTCAGCCGCTGATGCTAGTGGTGCAATGCGACCGCGCAGATTGGCTGGCCTCTCGCGCGCCGCTCGACGACACGTGCAATGTTGGAGCTCCGATGAGGTCTCTTGGTGCCAGTAATTAAACCATCGACTCTGGAGATTGGGGTCATGGGAAGCTTCGAGAAATCCAACCCATCTCGTACCAACATATGTCCGTGCAGGGTCTGCATGATCAGGATGTCTGGCTTAGTTGGGTGCGTGCATGATTGATTGACTGGCTACTCCGCTACTGCAAGACTGCTGGCAGCAATGGTCTCGTGCTAGTGCTCGTCAGTTTCATGAGTCAACCTGGATTGGAGTTGGCAGCAGCAGTGCGCATTTGACCTTTCCATATTGTGAGGAACGTAGCTTGGTTATCACTAATACTGCCAGAACAAAGTGCGATGTATATCGTTTCAACCAGCAGGAATTTATTTTTTCTTCTTCAATCATATGGTGTAAAAAAGATCTCTGGGACATGCACCTCCATTTTCTGATGCTGTGTTCAAGGATATTCCCACGTGCACGATTAATTGATTTTTTTCATGTTTAGTTCTTTATGGTCATCTTTTATATTATTGATGAGAAGTCTAACATTTTCTTTCATGCATGTCCTATTTTTAATCCAACCATGTTCTCACAAAGGCAATTACCATATGTTTTTAACAATATGTAACATTTTAACATATCTTCTCTATTTTTAGATGGTTTTTGCTAAATTCTTTCATTTTTTACTCTCTAAATGTTCCGACTTTCTTTACTCCTACATTAAAGTTTACATGAACTTTTTTTCTTGCGAAGGGAAGGGCGATTATATTAAAACTCGGCACAGTACATCCTCAAATTACATATGAAAAAATCTAAAATAAAAAATACACAGTGGACTCGCTCATTTCCAATCAAAATACAGATACAAGTGGACGAATCAGGGCTATTTATTTGTCAATAAACTGAAGCGCACATTCCAAAGATGCATACAACCAACTCCAACTTGTGTACCAACAAGGCAACAACCGAAAGAATAAAAAGGAGGTTCACGTTCACTAATGTCATATTTCCACTTCCTTTTTTTCAGAGCATATTAAGATTTGAAAAACGATTTCAAAAGTATACTTGACTATTGGTTTTATCTTATAATTCATTATTAGTTTATACAAAAAAAATATTCTATTAAAAGGGGATCGACAAAATTCCACTGATTGCTAGTGAAAACTAATAATGAATTGTACTTTATCAAATCAGTACGTGTACCGTAAGAAAACAAAAGGATGGAGTAAAAATATATAAATGAACAAGATTGGGAATTAGTATATCAAGTCCATGTAAACATTAAAATCGTTGTCCTTTCCATCGCGGTGCTTTCTGCTAATTAATACACAGTGGCTCCTACGCAGGTAAAATGTATGTTGAAAAAAAGGCCGTATTTGATGTTTTATGTGGTTCATATTCATGATTCATCCGAGATGAGGGCTAACTGCTAATTTTTGATATTTTCCTTAATTTTATAGGTTATTTGTCGGTGCGAAAAGTGACCAACAAGTAAATATTTGTCGTTTTGCCGTACGTTGTGATCGGATGTGGCCTAGCACTCAATGACACAGGGTTTATACTGGTTCAGGCAACGTGCCCTACGTCCAGTTTGAGTCGGTCGATGACTTTATTTCTGAGCCCAGGTGCTCGAAGTTTGCTGTGGGGTTACAAACGAGTGGGAGTAAGATGGAGGGTGCTAGAAGTCCGGTCGGACTCTGGACCGAAGGGCCGAGAGTGACGGGAGCTCCTACGTGCGCTATGTATTGGAACGTACGCTCTATGTAGCTTTAGAATGTCTAAAGCTAGCAGAGAGTGAGTCGGAATGATCCGTCTGTTGTTCGTCCTTTTTTGTCGGGAGAGGGCGTATCCCCTTTTATAGATGAAGAGGATGGCCTTATAAGTGAGAGAGAGAGTGTGTGTGTGCTACCTAGTCTTGTTGCCCACGCCGTCGGGTACAAGACGGTTTGTCGGCGCCCACAATACTATTGACGCCCAGATACATATGGCAGGCTCCATCGTGTTCTTCTGGTATGGCAAATGTCGGCGCCTACCATACTGTAGGACAAATGTCGGCGCCCACAACACTGTTCGTGTTCTGACATGTCTAGAAGGTTATAAAGTATCGTTCTGACATGGCCTGACAGTACTGTCTTGCAGGTGTGCAGGGTACGGTCCTCGGTATTGCGATTGACTCGAGTGCCTTGTCTTATCTGCTCCACTTGATTCTTGGGTCCTTACCGAGCGGGCGTCCCCGTTCGGTTGTTCCCAGTCGGCTCTGACCGCGCCGGTCGAAGAAAGAGCTGCAAGTAGAGGTTCGGTGTACTTCTGGTCGGAGAAGCGGGTCGGAGTCGAAAGCGAGCGTTGTCCCCTCCTTGGCCAGGCCTAACGGTCGGAGAAGCGGGTCGGAGTCGAAAACGAGCATCGTCCCCTCCTTGGCCAGGCCTTCCAGTCGGAGAAGTGGGTAGGAGTCAGAAGCGAGCTTCGTCCCCTCCTTGGCCAGGCCTTCCGGTCGGAGAAGCGGGTCAGAGTCGGAGGCCTTCCGATCGAAGACTGGATCACTCTTCCGGCCCGTCGTTAGGTATCTGGGCCAGCCCAGTAGTTGTGCGTCGTCTGTAATGCCGTCTGCTGGGCCGAGCTTTTGCTGGAAAGCAGGCCCATGAGGGACCCGGGTTTATGAACCCGACAGGAGCCCCCGAGCCCCCGGGCGATTCGAGTAGAATTGTCTAGGGATTTTTCGTTTTGTCAGCGGGTGCGCGCGAGCGCATCCGGTGGGTGTAGCCCCCAAGCCCCCGGGTGATTTGGGTAGAATCGTCTGGGGGGGTTTTGACTTGCCAGTGGGTGTGCGCAAGCGCACCCGATGGGTGTAGCCCCCGAGCCTGCATCCAACTGGTGAGTTCATTGGAGGCTGAGTATCTTGGCACTCTTTCCTGGGGCCGCAGACTCCTGTGTTTCTGCTGTTTGGGGTGTTCGCCCGTGTTTGTCCCGCCCGCGACCTGCACGGTCGGTTGATTTCCCTAGTCGGCGTCGGGCGACCTGAGCCCTTGAGCCCTATTGGGTTCAGTAGGGGTTGGTCTAGTTCCGTGCGTTACCCCGTCCATGGTTTCCACAACCGGAGGAGCTGAGCTAACGTCGCTTGCATCGATGGCTCGAGTGACGCGCTCGGTGAGCTCACTAACGGGTGCGTTCGAGCGGAATCCGGGTCCGTCATTCGTAACGGGGTCGGTATAGCCCTCATGTGGCATTCCACTGCTCCTTAACCCGCCTCCCGGTAGATGCCCGGGTCGTTTCGGAGATCGACTCAGGTGGCCCGTTGACCTCCCCTCGATGGAGATTCTGTGGGCATGGCTCGAGGTTAGGATCGAACGAGAAGGTTGAGATGACCCTGTCTGCTTCTGAGCATATCGGGCGAGGGCCGCTGGGGCTCATCTATATTTTCTCCCCTGACTCTGTTTGACGCGAGGTGGCCTCGAGCCCCGGTCGGTCGTTGCTCATGTTGAATGAGGCAACTACCGTTTTGTGACGCAACATGAAGCGTTGTGATGCATTAATTGCATATGCGATGCTTTGGATGTATGGGATGAATGAATGATTGTATGAATGCGTGTATGAGAATGGATGAATGAATGATCATGCATCAAAAAATAAAGTAAGAATGTTTGGTAAAGTTATCTTGATGACTCGAGTGACGGGTTTGAGGAGCTCTTATCGGATATATCCGAATGGGATCCGTGTCCGTCGTTCATGGTGGAGTCGGCATAGCCCGCATGGGGCATCCCACTACCCCTTACCTGTCTCTCGGCAGTCGCCTGAGCTGTCTAATCGACTCAGGTAGCCCGCTGGTCTCTCCTCGACGGAGATCCTATCGGTGGGCCCTTCCAAGCCCTGCCTGGGAAGGCGGAGGGCCGTTTGCGTGCGGTTGCACCTTGTTTCCTATGCCCCGATCGTGCGGTAGTGGTGGGCCATGTCCAGGTTACGTCCCATCTAACCAGGCATCGTTTCGTTGGGCAGGGCGCGTCCCATCAGTCAGGACACGTCCCACCGCATGCCTATCCGCATTGAATAGAGGAAGGGAGAGGGTTTTTCGCCCCAATCCTTCACCTTTCTCCAACTGTTGCCTTTCCTCCTTAAATAGGGGAAGGAAGAGAATTTGTGTCCCATTCCTTTGCCTATTCTTCAACTGCTGCCTCTCCTCCTTCTTCCCTCTCGCCAAGCGCGTTCATGTGCCGTAGCGGTTCCTAGAACAAAAGAGGGTAAAGCGAGGGAGAGGAGAACTCATAGATCCATTCGTGAATCCGGAGGCAATGTCAAACTGGAGGCCATCCAATGTAGATGTGGTGGTGCTGGCCGCCTTCGCCGAGAAAGGGCTGCTTCCGCCAAAGGAGGTGGCTCACTGGAGGGCTCCTGCGCTGAGGGAGGCTGTTCCATGACCTCGGTCTAACGAGGTTGTCTCCTTCCTTGCCTTCCATGAGCGCGGGCTAGGATATCCTGCGCACTGCTTCTTGCGTGGGCTCCTCAATGAGTGGGGCCTGGAGCTGCAGCACCTCAATCCAACTGGGGTGTTGCACGTTGTTGGTTTCGTGACCGTCTATGAGGCCTTACTTGGGATGGAGCCGCACGTGGACTTCTTCCGATGGATCTTCACCGGGCGAGCCTTGTCGGAGGGGATGCCGCCCAGGACCG